GATTTGGGGATTTGGGGATTTGGGGATTTGGGAATTTGGGGATTTAGAAATTTGGTCATTCGGAAATTTAGGGATTTGGAAATTTGGAAATTTGAGAATTTGGGTATTTGTTAATTTAATAGTTTGATAATTTAATAATTTGAAACTTACTACTTTGGTAATTTAGTAACTTCATTTTCTAATGTGCCTATTCAACAATTTACTAATTGAATTTTTTCATAAATTAGCAATTTCACAATTTATTACTATAAAAATTCCGATATTTAAAAATCCAACAATCTTAATATTTTAATATTTTTAAATACGAAAATTTGAAAACTTGAAAATTAAAAAATTCAATAATATTAAATCTTGTAAATATAAAAACGCAAAAATTGAAGAACTTAAATGAATTCCAATAAATTTCTTTTTAAAAATTAAAATCTAATTCGTCAAATTGCCCAGACGTAAAATCTCGCAAAGTTCGGTTCTCTTAATTAATCCTCTGCTAAAATTAACGCTCTCTCATCTCGATTCTATTCGTGTCTGTGATCTGTGACGTTTTCGCCGTCGTCGACGAGTTGAAGGTACACATGACGTCGACGAGGGAAGTGCAACACCACCTCGACATTGCTTTAAAAAGATCAATCGAGCTATTTAAACGTGTGCCATTTTGTCGAGTCACTTGTGAAAGTTTTATCAACAACATACACGTGTTCGCGTGACGCGACATCTGACAAAACGTGAAATCAAACGTAAAATCGCTCTTATTCATCGATTATCGTGGAGTTATCAAGGTTTTTTAGGTGAAACTGCATGAGGGAAGGACTTTTTAAGGATTCTTTTGGGTTGGTTTTATAATTCTGAGGATTTATAAGTTTTTAGTTTGGAGATTTTGGGATTTTGGGAATTTCAAGCTTTGGAGATTTGGGGATTTGGGGATTTGGCGATTTTGAAATTTGGGAATTTTAGGAATTTCAATAATTGAGAATTTCGGGATTTGGGGATTTAGGGATTTAGGAATTTGGCAATTTGGGAACTTTGGGAATTTCAAGATTTGGGGATTTGGCGATTTTGGAATTTGGGAATTTTAGGAATTTCAAGATTTGAGAATTTGGGGATTTGGGAATTTAGGGATTTAGGAATTTGGGGATTTGGGAATTTAGGGATTTAGGAATTTGGCGATTTGGGAATTTGAGAATTTGGGAATTTTGGGAATTTCAATATTTGGAGATTTGGGAATTTCAATATTTGGAGATTTGGGAATTTGGGAATTCCGAGATTTGTGGATTTGGAGATTTGGGGTTTTAAGGATTTGGGGATTTAATAACTTGACAATTTTGGTAATTTAGTAATTTGGTAATTTGAGAATTAGAGACTTTGAGAATTTGGGAATTTGGGAATTTGGGAATTTGGTAATTTAGTAATTTGGTAATTTGAGAATTAGGGACTTTGAGAATTTGGGAATTTGAGAATTTGGAAATTTGGGGATTTTGAAATTTTGGGATATGGGAATTTCGGGATTTGCAGATTTGGAAACTTGGGGATTTGATATCTTGGTAATTTAGGAATTTGGTAATTTGGAAATTTGGGAATTTGGGAATTTGGGAATTTGGGAATTTGGAAATTTGGGAATTTGGGAATTGGGAATTTGGGAATTTGGGAATTTGGAAATTTGGGAACTTGGGGATTTGATATCTTGGTAATTTAAGAATTTGGTAATTTGGAAATTTGGGAATTTGGGAATTTGGAAATTTCGGAATTCAGGAATTTCGGGATTTGATAACTTAACAATTTGGTAATTTGGTAATTTAGTAATTTTGAAATTTGGTGATTTGGTAACTTGGTAATTTAGCAATTTGGTAATTTAATAATTTGGAAATTTCATAATTTCATAATTTTGAAGATTTTTTATTTTTCAGTTTATTATCCTCAAGACTTTATCTATACATCTCTAGTTTATAACGCTAAGAATTTTGTTATCTCTAATTTATTACTTTAAGGATTTATACATACTTTAATTTATAATTCTAAGAATTTCGATATCTACAATATGTAATTTTTGAAATTTTCATATCTCCCATTTATAATTCCAAAAATTGTTATATCTGTAATAAAAGCAAACATTATTTTCGAAATTCATTTAAAAAATTTATTTAGTATTAATTTCGTCAAACTTTAATAATAAATTTTGAATGTAACTAAACTACCTTTTTCACAAAATTATTTCCACAATTTTACACATTATTTAATAATACCTTATTAAAATTATTTTCCATTAATTTCATCAAACTTCAACAATTTTAATAATAAAGTTAACAAAGTCCGACATTTTAACAAATTACTTCATCAGCAAATTTTACGTTTCATCAGATAATACTTCAATGAAAATATTCTTTCTTCATCAAACTTCAACAATTTTCCCAATAAAATTAAAAAACAATCTCAACTCTTAACAAAAAACCATTTCAACAACGTTACGAATAATCACACGATACAAGCATTACAAGAAATGTTACAGAAACCAGGAATCCATCATCTACCCGATGTGATAACAAATAATCGAGCAGATATGAAAGTCCGAAACGATCGGTCACGAGCGATTAATCATCTCGAGGTAATAAATCAAACACCTCGGTGTTGAATTTGATAAGCGATACATATCAAAAGATCACTTTCCTTCGAGCATATGTAAATTCGAGGTCGATTTTATTGGTTATAGTACCGGAAGTCGAAGGTGGAACTGTCGTAGTCATTCAGTACGTTAAATAGATGTTATTTCCACGAAGCGTGAATCACATTTCTCTATTTCGCGAATAGATCTACTACTTCCAGGAAAGTTTAAGAAACTTCATGGTCAAACGGCTAAAATTTCCTGTATTTTTAAAATTTCCACGTTTTATTGCTCTTTTCTTGTTGCTTTCGAGTTTAAAATTGTGTTTTAGTGTTTTGATAGTTCTGTCTAGATGTGGAATGTTAATGATGAGGAGAAAATTATGAGAATTATTACAAAATTTTGGGATATATTACAAAATTATGGTAAGTCATGGGAATAAATTAAATTAAGTGATATAGGATTGATAGTAATATTTTATGTTTCAAATTATAGGTCAAATTTTGAGGTTTTGAATTTGGTAGTTTGGAAAGTGGACATTTTGAAAATTGATGATTATAGAATTTGGTACTGTTGGGGTTTGAAGATTTAGAAATTTGGGGAATTAGCAATTTAAAAATTTGGAGATTTTGGAATTTGTGGGTGATTTTGGAGATTTCGAAATTTGGGAATTTGGAGATTCAGGAGTTTTGGAATTTAGAAATTTAGAAATTTGGAGATTTGGAGATTTGGAGATTTGGAGATTTGAAGATTTGGAGATTTGGAAGTTTGGGATTTAGAAATTTGGGAATTTGGAA